GTCGATTTGCTCGAGCGGGCCCAGTAACGTCTCCATTGGAGACTTTGTTGTTACTGTGTCTGGCATATCAGATACTCTCGGTAGCTTGCCGGGCTCTCCGAGAGGGGCGGAGGAATCGAACTCGGGTCGGCCATGTTGGCCGCTTGTAAGGCGAACGCCCTACCCGCTGTGAGGGGTGGAGGGAGAAGAATTAGTTTTTAGCTAAACTGAAGGGCAGGATGCAAGCCTTAAACCCAATGCACTAAAGAGTAAAGGCGAGGGCTTGGGGAGCTGTGCCTAGACACAGTGACTTAGAATACCCACAGGTGTAAGCTTGCAAATTCAATCACCAGTCGGACCATATTTGCCAAGCATGCAACCAGCAGCTTTGCTATTTATATCTGACAGTCCTGCTGTCAGTGATGTCCATCCCCACAAGCTCTGGAGCCAACTGTGTGTAAGTACAACAAAGAGGAGCACTCCACTACAAGACCCAGTGAGAGTTACATGAACAAACCAGTCAGGAGAGTTTGGCCCCTGTTAAATACCTGTGCATGCACTGCAGTGATCTCTGCGAACACCACTAAAGAATGTAACCCCCATGCCAGGAGAAATCCCTTAGCATGTAGCGAGGAGAATGCCTGAGGGCAGCTGGGTGTGACAACAACAGACAACAGACAAAAAGTGGAAGGCTAGAGAGGTAGCACAGAGGGTAAGATGCTTGCCTTGCACATTGCCAACTGGGGTTCAATCCTTGGTAACCCCCTCAAATAAAGAATAAAAGGGAAAAAGACTAGTGCCCTAATCAAGCAAGCACTGCAACATGACGTGTGATACCTGGAGAACAACATAGTTTTTTTGTTTTGTTTTGGGGCCAGACCCAGCTATTCTGAAGCTTCTGACTCTGCTCTCACTAATGTTTTTTTTTTTCCCCCTGGGGGAGGTCATACCCGGCATTGCACAGGGGTTACTCCTGGCTCAGGCACTCAGGAATTGCTCCTGGTGGTGCTCGGGGGACCATATGGGATGTTGGGATTAAATCCGGGTCGACCACGCGCAAAGCAAACGCCCTACCTGCTTGTGCTATCGTTCCAGTCTCTCAGGATAGATTTTGGGAACCATAGGGGTTTCTGGGGTTCAAACCCTCTCTGTTGTACAATCTCTCTAGCCCTAAGCACCATAGTTTAAAAACTGCAAGTACCACCAACAAGAAAGGGAAGGGGTTCACATTTTTTAAAAGATGGTTAATATCCAAGATATCTCAAGTTTACGAGAAAAAAATTTTACGAGAAAAAAAAAAACATACAACCCCATCAAAAAATGAGGAGAAGAGATGAACAAAACTTCCTCAAAGAAGAAAATCAAATGGCTAAAAACACATGAAAAAGTGCTCTACATCACTAAGTACCAGGGAGATGCAGATAAAAACAACAATGAAGTATCATCTGCACTCCTATGTTCTTTGTAGCGCTATTCACAACATCCAGATTCTGGAAACAACCCAAATGCCTGAGAACAGATGAGTGGATAAAGAAATTGGTGTATCTACACAATGAAACACTGCACAACTGTTAAGAAAAATGGAGACGTGAAATTTGCTTACATATGGATCAACATGGAGAAAATCATGCTGAGTGGAATCAGTCAGAGGGGGCGGGACAAACAATGATTGTACCTATTTGCGGGACGTAAAAAGAAAAAAATAGTATGTGAGTAATACCCAAAGACAGTATAGACAAGGACTAGGAGGGCTGGTCCGTGGTAGGAAGCTTATTACAATCAGGTGCGGGGAGTGCAGTTAGGACAGAGAAGAGAACACTATGACAATGATAATTGAGAAAATTATCTGGGTAAAAATTGAGTGCTAAAAGGTGGTAAAGTAATATGAGTGAAACCCTTTTAGTAACAGTGCCTAAAAGGAAAATAAGAGAGAGGGAAGAAAAATATCTGCCGTAGAGGCAAGTTGTGGGGGTGGGATGGTAGGGGGAGGTGGGAGTCCAGTGGGACATTAGGGGTAGGAAATGTGCACTGGTGAAGGGACAGGTATTGGAACATTGTATGTCTGAAAATGAATCATGAACAACTTTGTAACTATATACCTCAAGGTGATTCAATAAAACAACAACAACAAAGAATTGGGGCCTGAGCAATAGTACAGTGGGTAGGGCATTTACTTTGCAGGTGGTGGACCCGGGTTCTATCCTTGGCACCTAATATGGTCCCCCGAGCCATCCAGGAATGAAGCCTGAGCACAGAGCCAGTGTGACCCCTCCAAAAAAAAAATTAAGAAATTTATCCTGAGGTATCTCAGGATTGACTTCATAGTTGAGATGATTTCATTAAGCTCTCAAACTTCCCAAACAGTTATTTTTACTCATTTTTATTTTGGGCCAAACCCAACAATGCTCAAGGGCTATTACTCCTAAATACTCCTGGTGGTATTCAGGGTACCATGCAATGCCAGGGGTAGAATCCAGGTTTTCTGCATGCTAAGCATGTACTCCAGCCTATTGAACCATCTTTTGGGCCCTCAAAATGATTTTGGTTTTTCTTTCACCACACCCAGTGATGCTCAGGGATTACTTCTGGTTCTGTGCTCAGAGATCACTCCTGGTGAGCTTAGAGGACCATATGGGATGCCAGGGATCTAACCCGGATCAGCTGCATACAAAGAAAAGCCCTACCCACTATACTGTTGCTCCATCCCCATAGTTACATTATTTTTTTTAAAAATGTTTGTGTGCTATAATGACAGTTGAATCGCTATTGTATAGCCCTGAAAAGTGTGAAATATTTACTACCCAATCCTTTGCAGAAAAACTGTGCCAGCCCATGGCTTATAATATGAGCACTATTATTTGTGTTCCAGCATTTAATATGTTGGGATAGTTGTTTTAATTATGAGAGGTTCTTGTTTTAGAATCTTTATCCCCAGTGTATTAAGAAGAATGGGGACCAGGGGGAGAGCAGAGTGGTAGTACAGTGGGTAGGGCGTTTGCTTTTCACACAGCTGACCCTGGTTGTACCCCCAGCATCCCATATGGTCCCTGAGCACCACCAGGAGTAATTCCTGAGTGCAGAGCTAGGAGTAACCCCTGAGCATCACCAGGTGTGATCCAAAAAGCTAAAAGCAAAAAAAAAAAAAAAAGAAGAGGAAGAGGAGAAGGAGGAGGAGGAGGAGGAGGAGGAGGAGGAGGAACAGTAGCGGCAGTAGCAGCAAAGTACTAAGGAAGCTATCTGGGGAGAAAATACAAATTAGGACTCATGCAAAGGTGGATCCAAATGCACGGTTCGATCCTAAATGCACCACATCAACAGTGTTGACCATCTGGCTAGTTGGCTGAGAGTCACCGAGACTGACCCCTATGTGTACCACTCAGGGTCCTACCCTCAATAAAGGAAGCAAAACAAAACTGTTGCTGCACAGTGTTAGCAGAGAAAATAGCCGCTGATTTAAAATTCTGTTGCTGCAATATAAAAAACTTCCATAAATAGGGAATGAAATTCTCCCATTTACAATGCCTCATAAAATGAACACGCTGGGGAGATAGACCAAAGAGCTGGAGCTCCTGGTGGTTCTTCGAGGTCTCTCTTGGTGGTACTCCAGTGGCCATGTGGTGCCGGGGATTGAACCTAGGATACCATATACAAAGCTTGTGCTCCAGTTCTTTGAGTCACCTCCCTGGTCCCGTTTGGCTTTGTTTCTAAGAAAATGTCATTCTTCAGGCCAGAAAGATAGGATAGCAGGTAGGCACTTGCTTTGTATGCAGCTCGCCCGGGTTTGATCCCTGGCATGGCATATGGTTGCCCAAACTCGGCCAGAAGTTATCCATGAACACAGAGTCAGAAGTTAGCAATGTTGGTGTGACCCAAAACAAAGCAAAACAAAAATAAATAAGAAGGATCAAGTCAGATAGACAGTTCAGTAGGCTAAGGACATGTTTTGCATATAGGAGGCCCAGATTCATATCCTAGCACTGCATGGACTCCTGAACACTGCCACAAGTTACCCCCAAGCTCTGGGCCAGGAGGAGCCTCTGGACATTGTCAGATGGGGTCCAGAAGACAAACAAGTGAAAACAGATAAAGAATCAGAGTGCGGGGAAGATGGCTCAGAGTTCCAGAGCACATCTTTGATGCAGGAACCCTGGCACCGCATGGTTCTCCGGCATCACCAGGAGCAACTGTTCCCAGGCACTGTGCTGGGAGTAGTCCCTGAGCAACTTCTGGTGTGGCCTGAAAAGACAGCAAGCAAGCTAAGCAAAAATCACACAATTTTCTAAGAGCCAGGGGGAGAGCACAGAGGCCTGGAGTTCGGCCTTACCCACTGTACCATCACTCTGGCCGCTCTGCTTAGTTTGATTTTGGGGTTTGGAATACACTCATCGGTCTCAGGGGCTACTCCCAGCTCAGTGCTCAGGTTTTATTCCTAGTGATGCTTGGGTGACCATGTGGTACTGGGAGTAGTATCTGGGCCACCCACAAGCAGAATATGCACTTTATCCTGAGTCATCTCCCCAGCTCCTCTGGGAATGTTGACTTAAGGTCACCTATTCTCTTTATCATGGACCCAGGAATGATTTCTTTGGGGGAGGGGGCATGTGTGGGGCTTTACGTATTTTTTTGTCCCAGCTAAATTATTTCAGGTCAAAGTCATACATCATTTTATTAATATATGCTTTTTTGCTTTTGGGGGACACACCCGCCAGTACTGAAGGGTTACTCCTGGCTCTGCACTTAGGAGTTAACTCCTGGCAGTGCTCTGGGGACCATATGGGGAATCAAACCCAGGTCAGCTGCATACAAGGCAAGCACCCTACACTCCAGCCCCCTGTTATACATCACATTAAGCAACTGATATCCCTCCCCCCCTTAGTATACAAAACCATCTGCTGTCACTGCTGTAGCACTACAACATCCAGGGCAGATTGCTCCTTTGGGCAAATCCTTGCAGCTCTTCAACAATCTCATTTCTTCCCAAACCCAGGAAAAAACAGTTCCCCCAAAGACACCAAGCTTACTTGATCCGAAGAAGGGAGAGAGAATTTATTTAATTTGACTCAGGCTCACAACATTGTCCTCTTTTTCATGCTGAGGTCATCAGCATCGCCTTCAATCCGAACATGTCTGTCTTTGACAAATCAGGGCAGCTCAGAGATTTCTCTCTTGGCTGGGGGACCCAGTGGCTTCTCCTGTTCTCTAGCTTTCTCCTCGTACATCAGGATCCTGGTTGAGATGAGAGGACACACAGGGATCAGGGGCCTGAGCAGGTATTTTGTGGGTTTTTGTTTTGTTTTGCTTTTTGGGTGACACCCGGCAATGTTCAGGGGTTACTCCTGGCTCTGCACTCAGGAATTACTCCTGGCAGTGTTCATGGAACCATATGGGATGCCGGGGATCAAACCTGGGTCAGCCGGTTGCAAAGCAAATGCTCTACCCACTTTATTAGCACTCTGGCCTGACCTGGACAGTTTTAAAAGAGAATAAATCTTAGGCTGCTGCAATTTTTTTTCCTTTTTGGGTAACACTAGGCAATGCACAGGGGTTACTCCTGGCTCATGCACTCAGGAATTACTCCTGGCAGTGCTCAGGGGACCATATGGGATGCTGGGAATTGAACCTGGGTTGGCCGTGTGCAAGGCAAACGCCCTACCTGCTATGCTATTGCACCAGCCCAGCTGCTGCAAAACTTTGGAAGAGGGTTGGGATTGCGATGGTGGCTGGAGAAGAAGGGAGGGCAGCGGGGGAAGCCCTGGGTCCTGTGGGGACCAGAACCCCAGTCCCTGGGCAGAGGTAGGGCTGACAAGACCCTGTGAGGATTGAAGTAACCACTGCTTGGGTCAGAGAGGAGAGGCTGGGGCAGGTGCAGGCGCTGTGCAAGTGGGTCTTACATTTTCAAGATGGCTGATCTCTTGCCCAGCATCATCCGGAGAAAGTCAGAGTAGCTGAAAGTCTCCCCAGAGCCTCCGGACACCTCCCTGATTAGCTTTTTGAGCTCCAGGTGGGTCTTGGCAACCCCGAGTTTCTCCAGCATTCGCTTCAGGGACATAATATCTGGAGGGGGTAAGGAAGTGGGTGAGCAGGGGGGTATCTCATGCTCTCCTCCTCTCCCCGCCCCCCTTCCTCCCACTCTGATCTGCAGACTCTGGGGAGCACTTATAGGCACGAGCTCCTGCTCCTCCCTCTCCCAGAGCTGCACACCCCAGTGTGTCCCCCTTTTCTCACCAATGTCTCCGTTTCCATTCAGGTCAAACTCCATGTACTTCTCTGTGAAGGGAAATACAGGGTCACACAGGGCTGACCAGGGCCTCAGGCAGGGGTGGGTGGGGAACTGAGAATGGGGTTGCTGATCTATGCTGCTGCAGGGGGAGATGAGGCGGGGTACAATAACGGGGGGGGGGGTTGCTTAGGGATTGTATTAAGGTGTAGGGAACTGGAGGGAGGGGTGAGGGAACTGCAGGGGGCTGGCAACAGAAGCAGCTCCCCTTTCCACCCCAGAGGCTGACTTTATGTCTCTCTGTCCCCCCTGATCTGAGGATAACCCAACGCCCCCACCCTAGTTGGGCCCTTACCCTTGAAGGCTTCCAGTTTGGAGGGCAGTTCTTCATCGTCGCTGTACTTGGGGTCATCGCGGAATTGCTGGAGGGGAAGACGAGTTAGAGGCAGCCCCTATATGTGTATATACTGGGGGAGGGGAACTTTCTCCCAACCGTGCCCCCTTAATTCCTTTACCTTGTTGATTTCTTCCAGTCTCTGCTCCTGCTGGGCCTTCAGTAACCCAAAGGCTTTGCCTCCTGAGTAGGGGCAAAGGGTTAGTGCGTCTTTATCCCATTCCTTCTTCCCCTCATTCCCACACTCAGCCCCTGGTCAGCCTTTGTAGGCTAGTTAACCCCTTCCCAGTCCCCAATTCGGGTCTGCCCGCCCTCCTGCACCCATTTCAGGCTCTGGCCTCTTCCTCTTCCCCTACCCTGTAAATTCCTGGTCTGGCTCATAGCTCAGCTGCTCGGGCTGCTGATGGGGACAGCTCGAGCTGTCGGTCTCTGTCTGCAGCCTACACTCTCCCACCAATCTCTTTTTGAGATCTCCCAAACTTCCCTTTTCCCCTCAGTCCCCCTCCTCTAGGCCCCAGGTCCCACTTCCCCATCAAAATCTGCTGACCCAGCAACCCAGTGAGAAGGGGAGCCCAGCATAGAATGGAAACAAGGAGGTATTCTCCCAAATTCCTCTTAAGAGAGTGCAGATGTGTGTGAAAGAAATAGTCCAAGAAGTGCCTAGAAGGGGCCAGAGCAATAGTACAGCTGGTAGGCTGTTTCCTAACATGCAGCCGGCCCGGGTTCAATCCCTGCCATTCCATATGGTCCGCCAAGCCCACCAGGAGTGATTCCTGAGTGCAGAGCCAGGACTAAGTCCTGAACATCACCGGTGTGACCCAAACAAAACAAAACAAAACAAAACAAAGTGACTAGAAGGGCTGGAGTGATAGCACAGCGGGTAGGGTGTTCGACTTGCATGCGGTCCGACCCGGGTTCGATTCCCAGCATCCCATATGGTCCCCCAAGCATGGCCAGGAGTAATTCCTGAGTGCATGAACCAGGAGTAACCCCTGTGCATCGCTGGGTGTGACCCAAAAAGCAAAAAACAAAAAAAGTGACTAGAGATGGAGGGGAGCAATAACACCCTAGGGGTGTTTATTCTCAGAAGCAAATGGTCCCTGAACAGGTGCAGAGGTGCAGGTAACTCTCAGGCCTTACACTTTGTCAGAGCTCGTGAGGCCCATGGGCAGTTTGGGCTGTGTTTCTCCCACTGTGGCCAGAAGTCTCTGAAGTCTGTTCTCAGCCCTGCTCACTCAGATGGGCTGAAAGGGAAGGAAGATTCTCCTCCAGCCCAGCACCCATAGAGGCCCTAAAAAATGGATACGTCAAAGTGAATCTTTGATACACTTTGGGTCACAACAGTAGTACAGTGGGGAGGGCATTTGCCTTGCAAATGGCCAACCCAGGTTCTATCCCTGGTATCCCATATGGTCCTCTGAGCACTGCCAAGAGCGATCCCTGAGCACTGCCAGATGTGGCCCCAAAACAAAACAAAACAAAACAAAACCCCCCCCAAAAAAACAGCTTTGTCCAAGGAGGCCATCTTAATATGTTTTAGGATGTGCAATTTAACCACTGCATCTTATTTATCCTTTGAAATCTCCAGTAAAAGTCTGCTAAAAACTTTAGAAATTTGAAAATTTAGAGTCTTTGGGGGAACTGAAAGTGGCACCAAGTAGGAGATACTGCCTGAACAGAACCAAGAGTCAGGAGCGAGGTTTACAAATATCGCGGGAGTAGCCCACTCTGTGGGCATGCAGCCCCTCTTGGGGTACAACTTGCACCCCTCTCCTGCTATTTGGCTACTTGCTTCTAGCAGTGACAGAGACATTGTGGTCCTCTCCCAGAAACATCCATGTCCAAATTCCACCTCCCCGTCCCACTTCCTGCACGAGGGTCCCCTTCCGCCTCTCCTTCCCCATCTGTTTCACTGTCTGCAGCTAGGGCTGCATTTCTCCCTGCTCTCTGCTCTCTGGAATCCAGGCAGGTGGAGCAATGATGGAGGCGACTCTGGCTCCTTCACGGTCCAGGATCACGGCTGCCTCTGGAGAAGCTGTGCTCCCAGCAGTGCTCCACACCTCGCGGGGGATTCATTTCTTTAGTCCTGCATTCACTCAGCTAATACTTATTTATGACCTGCCATATGCCAAGGAGGCCTCTCGGCCCAGTGAAGCAAATGCACATAAATTCTTTCCCCCTTGATTGTTGCCACTGATGACGATGTGATGACCAGGGTTTGCCCACAACCTGGCTATGGGGATTCCCCTTTTTTTTTCTTTTTGGGTCACCCCCAGCGATGTTCAGGGGTAACTCCTATCTTTGAACTCAGGAATTACTCCTGGCGGTGCTCAGAGGACCATATGGGATGCTGGGAATTGAACCCAGGTCGGCCACATGCAAGGCAAACGCCCTACCCGCTGTGTTATCGCTCCAGCTCCCCCCCCTTTTTTTGGATCCCCCATTTTTATCTGTGGTGCTTGCTAGAGGTTCCCATCTCAGTTTGTGGTCCCTGCATGCTCAGCTCCAGTGCTCTCCGGAGGGCTGCCCAGTGCTTGCATGCATGCTTCCTGGGTCTCACTCTCATTCAAGGTGCATGGTCATGCTCGCGGTGCTCTCCAAGAGAGACAGCAGTGCTCCTCCCCATGCCCACCAGGTGCCGAGCTCCTGGCTCTGGCACTTGCACATCCTTCCCCCCTGCTTTACAATTTGTGGTGCCAGGGATGGAACACAGAGATTCACACATGGGAGGCATGCATGGTACCACTGAGGCACAGCAGTAGCCCTTCACACATCTTTTTCCATTGTTGTGGTCACCGGGGATTGCACTTCTTTTTGCGGTGTTTATGCAGGCATCTGACTGGGTGTGGCTGGAAATTACTTGTGGTGCCGGTGGTTGCAGACAGCAGAGCTGTGAGTGTGTGAGGGGAATAGAGGAAGGAAATGAGGCCAATTCTGGGGTCCTACAGGCCTTTCGGAAAACACTGGCTTTATTCCGAGTAAGAGCGCCTTCTCAAGTGGTCATCCCTTTAAGGATGGCTTGTCAGGCTGCCATGGTGAGACAGCTTAGGTGCTCAGGAAACTTCCTGGGATAGAGATGGGTGGTCTGAGCGTGGGACAAAATTGATGACCTATGAGGGCAGGCTTAAGGGGTGGCTGGGAAAATTGGAGACAATGATGGAGGGAAGGTATAATGATGGTGCGATTGGTGTTGGAATATTGAATGCCTGTAACAAATCATCATGAACAACTTTTTTTTTTATTTAATTAATTAATTTATTTATTTTTTGCTTTTTGGGTGACACCCGGCGATGCTCAGGGGTTATTCCTGGCTTTGCACTCAGGAATTACTCCAGGTGGTGCTGGGAATCAAACTTGGGTCGGCCGCGTACAAGGGAAACGCCCTACCCGCTGTGCTATCACTCCAGCCCCAAGAACAACTTTTTAAACCACAGTGTTTATATAAAGTGTAGGGGGAAAATTTACATATGTAGACCTTACCTATTCCATGTAAACTCCAAAATACAATAATAAAGAATTGCTTTAAAAGTGTTATTAATATCAGGTGAGATGAGATTATTATCATAATGAGATCCAAGTAGCACTGTCCTCCCATTGTTCATCTATTTGCTTGAGTGGGCACCAGTAACGTCTCCATTGTGAGACTTGTTGTTACTGTTTTTGGCATATTGAATACGTCACGGGTAGCTTGCCAGGCTTTGCCATGCGGGCAAGGATACTCTCAGTAGCTTTCCAGGCTCTACAAGTATAAAATAAAATTTAATATAATATGCTTTAAAAAAAAGTGATGTGGGGGGTCGGAGCGATAGCACAGTGGGTAGGGCATTTGCCTTGCATGCGGCCAACCCAGGTTCGATCCCTGGCATCCCGTATGGTCCCCCCAAGCACCGTCAGGAGTAAATCCTTAGTGCAAAGCCAGGAGTAACCCCTGAGCATTGCTGGGTGTGACCCAAAAAAGAAAAAATAAATAAATAAAATGAATTGGTCTCCTTTAAAAAAAAAAGTGATGCGGGGCTGCAGCGATAGCACAGCGGGTTGGGTGCTTGCCTTGCACGCGGCCAACCCTGGTTGATTCCCAGCATCCCATATGGTCCCCTGAGCACCGCCAGGAGTAAATTACTGAGTGCAAAGCCAGGAGTAATCCCTGTGCATTGACGGATGTGACCCAGAAAGCTAAATAAATAAATAAATAAATAAATAAATAAGTGATGCTCTATCAGTATCTAGAGCAACTAGAAGAGTACCTAGAATATGTTGAGGAGCAAGTAGATGGAGAAACTGGGTCCACACATAGACACAGAGAAAACCTGTGGCAATTGACGTGCCAAAAGGCCCCCATCACCCCGGCTCAGGATCTGCCCCTCAATTGCATGGGGGCAGCTGCAACATTTAGAGCTGAAGTCCTGTGGGGTCTCCTGGCAGAGGTATATTAGGTATATTAGGGCACCTCAGTAAGGAATCCAGAGAATCTGGAAATCCAGAAGGTAACTGTGACACTCAGGCTGCAAAATCTAGATCTGAGTAGAGATATGCAGAAAGTCCTTAAAGCTGAGTTCTCAGGGGGTAGACCTCAGAAACACACACTGGGGGTCCCCAGACCATACCTAGTGTATCAGAAGCCTGGTCTGGGCCCAGAAACGAATTTTTAGTAAGTGTCTCAGGTGATTGAGGTTCACTGCACTCTGTAAAGAAGTGGAGAGGCCAGAGGGCTGGAGGGCGCCTGCCTTGCATGTGGCCAGAATCAATCCCCAGCACCCCATATGGTCCCCTTCCCTTGAGCACAGAGTTAGGAGTTAAGTCCTGAGCACAGCTGAATGTGGCCCCCAAACAAATGAAGATAGGACTGAAGGGTCTCCCCAGGCTTTCATATGCTCAAGAAGGGTTCAGCGAGTGGGTGGTGGGGCCGCTCAGCCTTGGAAGAGGGAGGAAGGAATTGCTGAGGCCATCAGGGAGAACATGCTGCACCAGTGCAGATGCAGCCCTCGAGATGCTGTGAGTCCCTTATGGACCCAGTGCCTGGTTGCTATGGGCCCTTGTTATGGCTCCCAGCTCTCCAGGGGAACTGCTGCTAGAGCCGGCCCCCATGGCATGTGCCTGTGGGAAGGGAGTACCTAGCTAGAGGCCTGGGGTGGGGGTGCTGCTCTCTCCTCGTGGCCCCTGCATGTTCCCTCCACTCTGCTCCCCGCCCCAGGAGATGAGTCTGTAGCACCACACGCAGTGTCTCTGGCTTCCAGCTACTGTTCTCTTCTGTTTGTTGTTACTGCTTTTATTATTTTGGGTGGTGCTGGCAATTCGAACCCAGGGCCCCACATCTGCAATGTCAAGTGCTGTACCTCTGAGCCACACTCCCGCCCTTCGCTACTTTTCGTTCTTGGACCAAAGGAGGGGAACCCAAGTTGAGCCTGTCATTCCACAGAATCACCTCAGAAAACTCCCATGTAAGGATGGGCTCTGCCCCTCCCCA